GCCCAGGAATGGAGTTCTGGGAACTCGAAGACCACGAAGTGGCCTACAGTTGGCTCCGGGCATCCAAAATCTGGCCCGGGAATGGAGTTCTGGGAACTCAAAGACCACGAAGTGGCCTACAGTTGGCTCCGGGCATCCAAAATCTGGCCCGGGAATGGAGTTCTGGGAACTCGAAGAGCACGAAGTGGCCTACAGTTGGCTCCGGGCATTCAAAATGTGGCCCGGGAATGGAGTTCTGGGAACTCGAAGAGCACGAAGTGGCCTACAGTTGGCTCCGGGCATTCAAAATGTTGCCCGGGAATGGAGTTCTGGGAACTCGAAGAGCACGAAGTGGCCTACAGTTGGCTCCGGGCATTCAAAATGTGGCCCGGGAATGGAGTTCTGGGAAGTCGAAGAGCACGAAGTGGCCTACAGTTGGCTCCGCGCATTCAGAATGTGGCCCGGGAATGGAGTTCTGGGAGGTCGAAGAGCACGAAGTGTGTGACTGTTGGCTTAAACCGACTTCTGCGGCACCCTGTCCGGCACCCGCCCAGACCCCCCTGTGGAGTCATCTGCTGCTCTCTTTTGACCCCACTAGAAACCTATCAGAACAAGCTGTTAGGTAATTATCCCGGCAAAGCAACCTAACAGCGATGTGTAGAAGCATATCTGAAAGCATTCCCCTTAAGATTCAGATGAAAATCCAGTTGTATAATTCTGCTGTTCTCGCAGTCGTAGTCGCATTCGCGATGACAGTCGCAGCGGCAACGGCAGTCGCAGTCACAGCCTCAGCCCCAGCCTGCCTCAGCCTCAGCCTCAGCCTGCCTCAGCCTCAGCCTGCCTCAGCCTCAGCCTCAGCCTGCTTCAGCCTCAACATCAGTCTGCCTTCAGCCTCGGCCTCAGGCTCAGCCTGCCTCAGCCTCACCATGCATCAGCCTCAGCCTCAGCCACAGCCTTCTCAGCATCAGCCTGCTTCAGCCTCAGCCTCATCCTGCCTCAGCCTCAGCCTCAGCCTGCTTCAGCCTCAGCCTCAGTCTGCCTTCAGCCTCGGCCTCAGCCTCAGCCTGCCTCAGCCTCAGCCTGCCTCGGCCGCAGCATCAGCCTGCCTCAGCATTCAAAATGTGGCCCAGGAGTGGAGTTCTGGGAACTAGAAGAACACGAAGTGGCCTACAGTTGGCTCCGGCCATTCAAAATCATGCCCAGGAATGGAGTTCGGGGAACTTGAAGAGCACGAAGTGGCCTACAGTTGGCTCCGGGCATTCAAAATCATCCCCAGGAATGGAGTTCTGGGAACTTGAAGAGCACGAAGTGGCCTACTGTTGGCTCCGGGCATCCAAAATGTAGCCCAGGAATTGAGTTCTGGGAAGTCGAAGAGCACGAAGTGGCCTACAGTTGGCTCCGGGCATCCAAAATGTGGCCCGGGAATGGAGTTCTGGGAGCACCAAGAGCGATTTTTGCGAGGATGTCCAAAGTGATTTCGGCTTCGGCGGCAGCCGCGGCGGCAGCCGATCCGGGTCCCGCCCAGACCCCCCTAAGGAGTCATGATGCTCTCTTTTGAGACCACTAGAAACCTATCAGCAAGAGCTGTTAGGTAATAATACAGAGTGCACATGGCGGAGGCGGCGGCGGCTGCGGCGGCGCCTGCGGCGGCGGCGGCGGCGGCGGCGGCGGCGGCTGTGGCGGCGGGGGCGGCGGGGGCGGCGGGGGCGGCGGTGGTGGCGGCGGCGGTGGCGGTAGCGGCAGCGGCTGCGGCGGCGGCGGCAGCGGCGGCGGCGGCGGCGGCGGCGGCGGAGGCGGCGGTGGCGGCGGATTGGCCCCCAGTAGCTACCCATCCAAAGACAACTGCTGAAAATGCTGAGGCTCGGGCCAGACTCGGGTGCTACGTATGTGTTGGGAGGGCGGGTGGGAGTGAGTGAGACGGCTTGCGGGCGCCGGGGGGGGTCTTGAACCCCCCCCCTACCCCCTCCCCGTGGGCTTGGGGAGGGGGGGCCGCGGGTCGCCGGGGCGTCCTTTGTCAGTCCCTGGGAGGATCATTTTTGGGCACCCGTCACAGGGATCGGGGCCCCAGGGGGGGGGAGGGGGGGGGGCAAATAAGTGCTTCGTCTTCTTTGACCGATCTCCTCCAAGATGGCCTCAAGAGCGCTCCCAAGGTCCCCAAGAGCGCTCCCAAGACGGCTCCAAGACGGCCCAAGAGGGCCCCAAGACGGCCCAAGCGGCGGCCAGTACGGCCCAAGAGGGCCCCAAGACGGCCCCAAGAGCGCCCAAGTGGCGCCCAAAAGCGGCCCAAGAGAGCCCCAAGCGGCTCCAAGACCGCCACAACACGGCTCCAAGTGGCCGCGGAGCCTCCCGAGGACGCCCCCGAGAAGCTAAGACGGCCCAAGAGGTCCCCAAAACGCTCCAAGAGAGCCCCGAGAGGCGCCCTAAGAGGGCCCCAAGAAGCCAAAACCATTGTTTTTCCGTTGGCGTTTCAAACATTTTAGCGTTCCCGCCCTTTCGGCTTCCCGGCGCTCCAAGACAGCCCAAAAAGCATGCAAGACCGCCCCAAGACGGCCCAATAGGCTCCCAAGACGGCTCCAAGACGGCCCAAGAGGGCCCCAAGACGGCCCAAGAGGCGGCCAATACGGCCCAAGAGGGCCCCAAGACGGCCCCAAGAGCGCCCAAGAGGCGCTCAAGAGCGGCCCAAGAGAGCCCCAAGATGCTCCAAGACCGCCCCAAGACGGCTCCAAGTGGCCGCGGAACCTCCCAAGGACGCCCCCGAGAGGCCAAGACGACCCAAGAGGTCCCCAAAACGCTCCAAGAGAGCCCCGAGAGGCGCCCTAAGAGGGCCCCACGAGGCCAAAATCATATGTTTTCCTAAAGCATTTCAAACATTTTAGCGTTCCCGCCCTTTCGGCTTCCCGACGCTCCAAGACAGCCCAAAAGGCCGGCAAGACCGCCCCAAGACGGCCCAAGAAGCTCCCAAGACGGCTCCAAGACGGTCCAAGAGGGCCCCAAGACGGCCCAAGAGGCGGCCAATACGGCCCAAGAGGGCCCCAAGACGGCCCCAAGAGCGCCCAACAGGCGCCCAAGAGCGGCCCAAGAAGGCTCCAAGAGGCGATATTTCGGGCCCCGACGGGGGTACACCAATAAATGCTCTCTCCTTCTTTGCCCGATGGCCTCCAAGATGGCCCCAAGAGACCTCCCAAACTCCCAGAGAGAGCCCCGAGAGGGTTTCAAGACTCCCAAAGGAGCCCCAAGAGAGCCCCAAGAGAGCCCCAGGGCCACGATTCCCTGAGATCCCCAGAGGGCCCCAAGATCGCACGGCAACGCCAGGAGGAGGAGGAGGAGGAGGACGAAGAGAAGGAGCAACGAGGACGAGGAGAAGGAGAGGAGGGAAGAAAGAAGTCAAAGAGAGGGAGAAGGAAGAGAACACACCCTACGGTCAGCGCACCTTGTTCGAGCGGCTGCTTTTGGATGGGCTGGTGGGGACTCGCGAAGCGTAAATTATCCCGGCAAAGCAACCTAACAGCGATGTGTAGAAGCATATCTGAAAGCATTCCCCTTAAGATTCAG